GTGTGGTGTGGTGTTAAGGGATACTCTGCCAGAGTATGCACCACACCACCCTGGAGCACTCCATTAACATCCCTAGCCGTGCTCGTAATTTACGTTGGTTTATTGTCTACATTTCCGGTGCCGACTTAAATTTATGGTATGCTATGATATTTTAAAAATTCTGTGATATTCTGTGCAATTTTTGTTAGAAAATTCTGCGAATTCTGTGAATTCTGACATTCTGCGGTGACAAATGGTGATTTATGTGGTTTGTTGTGTTTAAGAAAAATTCTGTGGTGTTCTGTGAAACACAGCAAATCATCGTCCCTGTCTCGTGTATATATAATACAGTAATATAGCATGTGATTAGCTTTTTTTATGGTCTGTGACATGGAATTCGCTCATATATATATTCAAACCAGTGTTTCAGCCTAAACCTCCTCCCAAAGTCCTAAACACTTCGTCCAGAGGAATTTTAGGTTCGCCCTATAAGTCCGACTAATTTCGCAAATTTGATCTGTAAATGATCTGCAAATTTGGGTTCCGCCCGAAACACTGATTCAAACAATAACACTCTATTTATTTATTATTATTATTATCATAAAGTAAAATTCAATGCTTGAGGCACCTTGAATAAAGCCCCAAATATTTAAGATTATCAATAAAATTTATTATGAAGCTAAAGATGACAACTAAATATTTTTCTTGTTAAATTTCGTTATATAGTTGATTGGCAAGATATTAGGTAAGCATATAGTCTACAAAAAAATATGTAGTATAGATGCATCTCTAAAGACAAAAAGAAGAAAGCATTTGAATAGTATCTAAGGTTTGCTGCAGACGTGATTTTAGTTAATATTGCAATGTGAAAAGTTATCATGTAGCATAGGTTAAAAACGAAACAAGCATTTAAATCAGCTAAATGACGTTTAAAATGAGTATTACCAAGTAAAAAAAACATTAAAAGGATTTTTTTTTCGCGTGTTTTACTTCATGGAATATGACTTACTAGCCCCTAAAAAATCGGGTCAAATATACAACAATTGTTATAACCAACAATAGATCAAAATTCCAAAGAACAATTAAATGTCATATTGCATTTATAAGATGAAAGTAGGTGCATTATATGACAAAGTTCCTAATATTGTAATAGGCAACTTAATGCTAGCGATCAAAACATGATGCATTCCCAGATATAAAAAAAGAAGCATTTAAAAATTTTTTTTAGACAACTTAATATATTAATATTAGTTATCGAAATTGTTCATGAATTTCTAAAGAAAAAAAAAAAATTTAAAATCTACAACGCACCTAGTATCCCCACCAAAATCAGGCACGTAATCGCTTTTTAAATTTCAATCTGAGCACAAGAATAATCGAATTATGAGAGTTTTGAAGAAATAATTAAAGCTTTTTTACTTGTTTATTATTATTTATTCGTTTATATTATTATCAGAATTTAAGAATTTACTTAATTATCACTACGAATTCGAATATTTAAAATACATTTATACCCAAATTCAATTTTTTAAATACACGTATAAAGCTTTGAATTTGAGCTTAATGCTACCAATAAAAGGTGTTTTTATTACGACCACTCCAAGTTTTTGGAAGCTTCTTTGCTCGTTCGAAATCTTTAATGTCATCTACCATTTTTTGAATAGGTTTAAAGTTCGATTCAATGCTTCGAAGCCATTTTTTTTTGCTTGGGAAGATTGTTAGATTTTTCAAGATAATCAAGCGTCTAAAACATAATAATAAAAAAAATGTTATTTCAATTGATTTGTATTGTAAGTCAGTGTTGGCAATTTGACAAAATTATTAGGTTGAATGTCATAAAAATGTCATTTTTGTCATAAAAAAAACGATTTTATTATGTTTTTTAAAATTTACATGTCATTTATTTGTCATAAAAAAGTCATATTTGTCATTTTGCCAACACTGTTGTAAGTTGCATCTACGACTATTACTCTAAATACTACTTTAAGACACTTGAAGAACAAGTAACCCAGTGATTCTCATATCACATGAAATCATACAATTACGTCATTTGTTTACTAGCACCAAACAAATTAGCCTAAACTAACCTATCACCTAACCCTAACACTAACCCTAGTGTAGGCCGAACACTTAATCATGTGATATGATTATCATGAAGATATCACTGGGTTCCTTGATTTTCAATCTTCCCAACAATAGCTTAGCCGATTGAAGTTGATCATCTGCTCGTTCATAACTGCATATTGCATCCACCAGTAATATATTTGATTTAATGTTAGCAATTCATAGCCTTCCATTTTTTTAGTTACAATTTGTCGATATAATTCAGATGCTGAATGAATTATATTAGTTTGAATAAATTCTTTGATCTCATTAATAACATTAATATGCTGTGGTCGTGGGTGCAAATTATGATTAAGCTTTACAAATGCCAGAGCATTTTGTTAATAATGGTTCCTTTGCAGTTACAATGTTCAATTCGTGGTTCCCTGTTGCGTTGTTTACTTTTATCATTATTTTTTTTCATCCTTTTTTCAAGCTCACAGCGACAATTGCATCAATAGGTAAACGAAGTAGTCTTGATTTGTTGCTATGATATTTATTATGGTAAACATACAAATAACCATCTCCCTTTTCACGACCTTAAGTGCAATTGAACTTGCAGATGCATCGTTTGTGTCATTTATCTATGATTATATCAAGATCATATATATATTACTTTCTCCATAAGTTTCTCATAAACTATATATTCAAGTTCTTCAGATTTTATAGCATTTTCTTTCTGCATGCAAATATCATTTAAAATTTGATTCTCACGCTTTCTTTTTTTGCTTTCATTTATGCGGTTTGAACATTCAATATAAATTTTATTATTTGAAATACAGGCAAAGGGCTGTCCTAGCAGCGCAAAGTTTTTCAGCTTCTCTTTTGAGAGTTGGTAAAAGTTTTCTTACGAAAAATTCTAGTATTGGGTTTTATAATTCGACAAGTCGAATAAAAGTTGATCAAAATATTACAATATTAAAAGAAAAAATTCCAACGTAAATTGTTATTTATTTTTATTATTACGTATTATTATTATTAATCAAATGTCTTCATAATTGTATTTCATTAATTTTAATGTCGGCAAATAAATTTAGGGAATTGATATTTCCACACCCTATGTAGATCACTTTTTTTAAAAACTTTGATCGATGGTATCTCGACACCCACCTGAGCAACTTCGATCAACTTTTTTTATTTTAATTATAGAAAGCCGCAGAATTCAAAGAAAAAAAAGTTGATCGAATGTGGTCAGGTGGGTGCCGAGATATCTTCGATCAAAGGTTTTGTAAAATTCAAAACGTCTATCAAATTTAAGCCGCGGCAAAATTGTTTACAAACTTTGATCGAAGATAACTTTTTTTTATTTAAATTTTAAAAAGACGTGGAATTCAAAGAAAAAAAAGTTTATTGAGTTTGGTCAGGTGTATGCCGAGATAGCTTCGATCAAAGTTTTTGTAAAATTCAAAACGTCTATCAAATATAAGCTGTGGCAAAATTGGTTACAAACTTTGATCGAAGATATCTTGGCACCCACCTGACCAAATTTGATTAACTTTTTTTTATTTTAATTATAGAAATCCGTAGAATTCAAAGAAAAAAGAGTTGATCTAATTTGGTCAGGTGGGTGTCGAGATACCTTCGATCAAAGCTTTTAAAAAAGTGATCTACATAGGGTGTGGAAATATCAATTCCCTAAATTTAAGCTCCGGATTTACATGCCTGATTTTACTAGGTGGGTCAAAATCTACTAAAGGCGGAGATTTATGAGACGAACAAAGCCGGAAAATGTTGACACGCTATAGATATTTCTAAAGATGAAAGAAGACGTTCAATTATTGTTGAAGGAAACTCTAAAAGACAATTGCTAAAGTTTATGCATTTTGAAAGATAAATAGCATTTAAACCCGTTAAAAAACGAAATCTTGCAAACATTGTCGGAACGTGAAGATTTAATTAGATGGTTCAGTATTACCATAATTGTAAAATTCTAAAGGTGAAAGAAGACATTTGGTTACTAAGAAAGGTCACTTCATTTGAACTGCATTAAACATCAAATTCGTCAATTTTTGCAAAATTTCAGTTTTGCTACCCTTCTCAACATATGGGCCAATTTTTTTGAAGGAAGTCGAAGTTAGTTTTGTTTTTTAACAATGACGAAGCCCTAGGTTTTACTTGAAAACCATCCATAGCATTCATGAAATCAATTTTTCTTATGAATATTCTGAAATTTTAATTAGCGGCACACGTTTTACGGAAACTTAATTAACTTCCTATATATATATTTAAAATTTACTTTATCGTTATTATTATGCAATGTTAATACCATATCGATATTCTATCGCTGCAATGTTATAAAAAGCAGGCTAGTGTTGTTTCAGTTAGTAAAGCACGTGCAGTATTTTCAGGTTTGACAATGGCCTATTGTTTCGTAAATATTAAAATTAGCTATTTTTAATAATTTCGTGTGACAGTAACTATACCTAATTTATAATAATTATAATAATTTCGTGTGACAGTAACTATACCTAATTTATAATAATTATAATAATGTAATATTTAAAACCTTTTCCGATAGGACATAGGGGGTAATAATGGATTCCCCTTCTCAAACCTTAACAGTATCATCCTACCTTTCGCTTGTATTTTTCTTATGGGCGATAGTGTTTGTAATATTTCCTTTGCCAATTAAAATCCCTTATTCTGATCGTCTTCCAGTAATTCCAATAATACATCCAAAACATGGCGAAAAGATAAAAATTTGGTTAAATTTGGCTACAGCTCCATTAATTGCTATAGTAATATTATTAGCTACAAAGAGTATAGGATTTCAAGTTGTGGCAAGAGGATTTTTAGGAGAAGTAGGGATCCAACCGTATAGTATAATGATCCTATTTTTTGCTTTGGTGAGTATACTATTGATTTAAAATCTTCTCACTAATTATAATCATTGTGTTTTTTTTTTTTTCTAACATTGATTTAAATTAAAAAGGCTTATATATGCATCTCTTTAGATGTAACCGGCTTTGTAGAGTTTTGTGCTTACGGTTTCTCAAATAAAAGTGGAAAGGATGGAAGGAAGCTATTCACCTATTTTTTTATTTTGTTTAATCTTATGAGTGCATTTACAAGTAATGATGTGGTTGTATTAACTGGAACTAGTAAGCTTTCATTCAATATATATATGTATATATAATGTTTATTCTATTTTAAGCTTTTTATTTTTATTCAATAGTATTCTTGGTATATTACACAAAAATATCAAAAATCGAGCCTCCAACTGCATTTTTGATTGCTGAATTCGTAGCTGCTAATATTGGTAACCATTTAAAGTCACTAGTCGATTTACTTTGCTATTTTAATATATATATATTAACTTTATAATTTACTCAATTTACATCTTCTCACTAATTAGCATCAATGACTCTTTACATAGGAAACCCTACAAATGTAATAGTAGCTCAAGCTTATAGCATCACATTCTTAACTTATAGCGCTTGGATGATCCTCCCAACCATTACTTCTATGTTTCTCGCTTATATTGCACTTTATACAATGTTTCGACGTTCAAATTTAATACCAGATGAAGTAAATTCACAAAAACGTAATCCCAAAGATGCTTTGAGAGATAAAAATGGAGCAATAGTTGGTGTGATAGTGTTAGGCAGCTGTTTGGTAACGTTAATGGGAACTAGTTTCACTTCTTTAAGTGTATGGATTGTTACGTTACCTTTTGCCATGATTATGTTAATTAGAGATATTTGGTATGATTTGACAAGAGATAAAAGAAGAGATAATAATGTTATGGATGTAAATGAGGACAATGCTGATATTCAGGTTATTGAATCTGAAAGAATTGAAAGAGATATGGGCCTAGAAAAAAAAAAGGATGAAGCTAAGGAAAATAATGAGAGTAAAGAGCCTTTACATCTGGATATAAATTCCAAAAGGAATGATGATGAAAGCGAACGTATTGTTGCAATTAATGATAATTCATTAAATAACGAATTATATGAAAATAATGAAACAGAAAAAGAAAAAGCAATGGAAAGCAACTCGTTTCATTTCCCATTTATTTCACAGAAAAAAAAATCAAATGATTTAGAACGTTCTATTACACCGCGTAGTATCCCACTATCAAGTTTAAACTCTAAAAAGAAAAAATCGCATTCATCAAAAGAAGAATCACACGATTCAGACAACACAAACCGAGAAAACAATATATCCCCCGAATCATATGATTCAGGCAACATAAACCGAGAAAATAACTTATCCCCAACTTATAAGGAAGATAATAATAACGATAAATCAATATTTGATGCATTTAAAAATACTTTACCGACTGTTTATTCTGTGATAATAAGAATGCCGGGAAATTTATTGCCATTTACGTTAGGGATGTTTATTCTAGTTGAAGGTAAGAAAAATAAATCTATATTAATCATTCATTTTATTTTAAATTTATAGACTCCTTACATGTCTAAAATTCTTGTTTTTTTCAAAAGCGTTATCATCACTAGGATGGATTTCCATATTCGCAAGTGCAATTTCAGTACTAACGCCTACGTATCCAGTTGCTGTCATCTCCATTGCTATATTATCAATCATTCTCTGCAATTTGTTAAATAATTTACCAATGACAGTATTATTAAGTCGAATATTGCAGAATGAAAATTTTGCAAACGCTCCGCATATAATACAAAATCCTGCAATAAAACAAGGATGTATATACGCGTTAATTATCGGAAGTAACATAGGTGCTTGTCTTACAATTGTAGGCGCCTTGGCTGGATTGATGTAAGTTTATACTAAAAAATAGAAATGTTAGAGAGATAGTATTCGAAACTAACTTCTTTTTTTTAAATAGGTGGGATAAAATATTAAAAGATAAAAACGAAAAAATTGGATATTGGCAGTTTGTGAAATGGAATCTTGGAGTTTTACCGGTAGTTGCCGTTGGAGCTTGTGGTGTTTTGATAATAGAACTTTGGGTTTATTATGATAAGTTAAATCATTAAACATGAAATGTTAATATAAAAAAAATAAGAGCCTTTTAGCTCTGTAAACAATAATGTTTTTATGTGATTAGGGCTTAAAGACTATGTTTAGCTGAGTAATTTAATATGAAATTGTAATATAATTTTTTTATATTCGTTAAAATAGATAATATTAAATGGCACATATATCACTATACGGATAGTGCTAATGAAAACTATTAATTACATACTCCTCTGGAAATAAAAAAACTTCTTTCTATTCTCAAAAATAAGCATCCTTTATAATCATATTGATAATTTTTACTGGGAAAATCACCCCCAATCTTCCAATAAAGTTGCGCAGATGGTGGCAAAACATTAAATTAGACCTGTTTAACCAAGTACAATGAGTATTTAACGTTTGCCATTATACTAATATTCGAATTCTTTGCGGTCTTAAAGAAAATATATACCGTATTTTCGCGAAATAACGCACCCCGGCGCGTTATTTTGAGTATAGGCGCGTTATTTAGAGTACGCGCCGGGGCGTTATTTTGAGACAATAGTAATTTACAGCTGATTTGGGGGAACGTTAAAGCCAGGTGCGCTAGAACTACTTTTTCGATGAAGTTAGAGTTACTTTTTTGATATAATTAAGGCTAGCAGGTTATATAAATATAAAGAATATAATTTATATCAATATATTAAAACACACCTGGTTTTAACGGACCCCTTGATTTAGTGTGAATTTACTTATCAACTAGATGGGATACGATCAACTCACCAACAATCACTTCGTAGTCACCACATTTCACCGACAATTAATTACCGAGAAGTTCATTTCACCGACAGTTTATTTCACTGACAGTTTATTTCACCGAAGCCCATTTTACAGACAATGTAATTCTGGTCAATATCATTAGGGTTCGGTTAGAATTAGAGTTAAAGTTAGTGTAATTTATAAAAAAAAAAAACTTATCGGCGAAATGAGCTTCAGTGAAATAGACTGTAGGTAAAATGAGCTTGTCGATGAATAATTGTCGGTGAGATGTGGTACCTATGAAATGATTGTCGGTGAAATAATACGGACCCAACTAGATACAGGGGCGCGTTATTTGGAGACGCGCCGGGGCGTTATTTTAAAACCATAGATGCTATTTTTAGGGGGCATGATTTTCTAAATAACGCCCCGGCCTGTTATTTCGCGACAATACGGTATTTTTTTTTTTAATCTTAACAAGTTATTTAAATGAATATTTGTATTTTAATCATATTAATTTAACACGTGGTATAAAGAACATTTATTAATTTAAGTGTTCAAGATAAGCTATTTGAGTCCATGAATATTTACATTTTAGGCAAATAAAGTTACTAATTTATTTAATATTCTCTCCACCTTCAAGGGTCCTTTTTCGAAGTTAAACAAGCAAATTAGAACATCCATTAGATTTAACAAGGCATGTTCTTGAAAGCCAGCTAAGAACAATAGTATTGTTTTTACGATGTGATGTAGAGTTTGTTTAAATCAACCTCTTACATCACCACACTTATGCACCATAATGTTAAAAGAAATTATAATTTCAAGTTCTTAATTTTATTTGAATCGTATTAATTTATTGAGATAAAGAATGCTTATTAAACTATTTTATAGTACTTTCAAATTACTATGATTGCTAAGATAGTCCACAATGAAAAATTCTAATTAACATGTCTTGAAATAAAAAAATTTTCAATCTCCAGTACTTATTTTATCAAAATTTTCAATTATTTTTTTTATCAGTGAGAATTTTGATATTATTATGACAAACCAACTACAAATTATAATTATACTAGAGGCAATACTATAGAATTCATCAATTATCGGAAATCTTGAGGACTTTATTTTAGACACATTAATTATAAAAAATTGCCAAAATTTTCAAATTTCTTCGTGGTATAAGGGGGCTGACAAGTATTAGGTCATTATACCCCCCCTGGGATTTTTATTTGACCCCCAGTGTCAGTCATTTGACATTAGTAAAAATTTACAAAAATTGCATTACGCAATTTTTGTAAATTTTTACTAATGTCAAATGACTGACACTGGGGGGGTCAAATAAAAATCCCAGGAGGGGTATAATGACCTAATACTTGTCAGCCCCCTAACCATCGTATGAGAGAGCTTTGCATTGTTATACAAAGTTTAGCTTTGATGGTTAACTTTAGAAATTACACGAATTTGACAATAAATTATGAATTATAATTTATTAAGCATTTTATTGTAAAAGGATGTTATGTTCAACCAAGAATGAAAGCAGAAATTTATATAATGTTGTACATGTATTAAGCTTCAAAATACCATAGATGATACTAAAGGTAAGGTTAACACGGTTATGATAGTATAGACAAATACAGAGGTGAGATACTCAGAACAAATTTATCGGTACAGAGCATCAGTGTAATTACGGTGTTACTATCAAGTGGGAGAGCGATTTGGCTATGAAACCGGATTAGCTTTGATAGTAACGGGTAGAAAGATTAATAATAATACACGTGAAGTAACGTTTATGGTTATGCAATGCACAGTTTAAGAGTGGACGATTGTTAGACGGATTTGGGATGATTGAGATAAGAATTATCAATGGCGGATGAAACTAGGTGTATTGTCTTAATAATGCAATTATATGAGATGCGTGGCAAATTTCAAGAATATGCAATAAGGTATAAATAAGATGTTTATTAAAAATAAGATTAAATTCTATTATATAAATAAATAAATGAAAAAAATATAAAATAGAAACGGAATATAGCAAATTGAATTTAATAAAAAAAAAAACTAATCAGAATAAATAAATAAAACTACTTTAATAAAAACTCAATATTTAACTAAAATACTAAATAAGAAATCGAATAACACTAAAATCGAAGTCTGAAGTGCCTATATATATATATGTTTTCTGATCAAGACCTACATAAAACTTAACATTCAATTCCCAACATTGTTTCATTCTGCTGCCACTCAACTCATGCTGGAGGAGCTTTTACACGCTTCCTGACGGATTAAGGTTACGCGGCATGATCAACAAGATAGACCACATGCCAGCGCGACGCATAATGATCTACACTAACACGGTAATTTGAAAACATGAATATAAAGAATAATTAAAGGTAGTTTGTAAATATAAAAAAAAAAAATTATTATTCTAAGTATTTAAAGAAACTTTTCAACTTCATTAGTATTACAATTTATGCTTATTAATTGTCGCAGCTGAAGCTGGAAATTAGGGACCTTGATTTAAAAATATAAACTCTACCAAAATCCACTTATACCCTTTTATTATTAAAACTACCCCTAAACCCTAACCTAACCCTAAAAAAAACCCCCTAACAAAAGGCACAAAAAATTTTTGAAAATTTCATATTAAAATAATTAAAATCTCCAACATCAGCCATTTCCAGTTTCAGCCGCGACATTAATTAATTGAAAAGTATAAAAATTATTTAAATATTACATAAATACTGTAAAATGAAAATGGTTATATGAAAACCTAATTGATATATCTAATTGATATAATAAAGAATTTTGATTACAGAAAATGCATATATCATAATGAAGGTAGAATGAATAACGTATGGTGTAGACATAATTCAGATATAACAATCGAAAATGTAGAAATATAAAGACTGACAATTCTATGAAAAGATCACATAAACACGTGATAATTTAAAAAAGATTAATAATATATTTATAATTAAAGTGTTTTATTTATTATTATCACATTTATAAATGCAATTTTTCACTTAAGTGCATCTTTTAATTTAAAACTTTTTATTTTAATTTTTAATTATTACTTAATTTTTTTTTTTTTTTATCAACTGATAGTAGAGGTCGGAACCGGTTAAAAAAATTCGACTGTAAATTCGGGTTGACCCGGTTTTATATTAAATCGGTTTTGTAACGGTATAATCCGGTTATACGTAAAACTCAGACAAACCGGTTTTAAAAGTAAAATCCGGTTATAAAATTCTGACAAATCGGTTTTAAAATTAAACCCCGATTTTATTTTTGATCTCGAAATACGCAAGTTGTAATTACATAATTTCATAATTAATAATATCGATTGATATATTATTTCATCATTAATAATATTTATTAATTGCTGTATTTCTTTATCGTTTCGATTTTTATCAAAATAAAAAATAAACCTAATTTCACAGACTATGTCTTATTCAGAATCTTTTAATTCATCGTATAATAGTCAGATTTCTGACTCTTCACTTACAAATAATAAAGAAAAAAAAAAAAAAAAAAAAAAGAAAAAACCACGAATCAATCAAAGTTTTACTACTCGATTTTTTGAAGAATGTGAAACAAATTCGCAAATTGTTTAATGTAAAATTTGTAAAGAAAACTTAGCCAGCACTTGAAATTACACAGCTTAAAATTGCCAACTAATGCTAAAATTTAACTTCAGGCATTTACAGCAATCACATAATATCGTATGAGGGTAGCATGAGTTTGATTCGCAAAGTTTTGCATTTTACAAAAAAAAAATTTTCAAACCGGTTTAAGCTAAATCGCAACCGGTTTTATATGACTTATAATTCGGTTTAATTTCAATCGATTTAAATCAAATTGTAACCGGTACTATATTACGTGCAAAAATCAATTCGGTTCTTAAAGTTACAACCGGTTCCGACCTCTAACTGATAGTCAGAGATATTAATTATATTTTTATTATGATAAACTTATTTAACAAAAAATATAGGTTATTTCTAATTAACTTTTTATGAAAATGTTTTTTTATGTCCTAACAAAAAAAACTACTCGCGAAATTTTTAGTGCATAATGCAACCTTCCTTATCCTAACATTAACCGTTAACCTTAAAGCAGAATTTAACCCCAACTTGATCTGCCTTTACCTAATTTAATCTTTGCCTTTAGGCAATACAGCAATATGAATTACAAATTATTTGTCATATAATATACAGTACAAAAGAAAATTGTACAATTTTGGATAAAATTCGAATTACTTTATAAGGTTGTCGCTCAATTATCCGAA